AGAGTTTGCCAGAGATGACATGAACTTCTGATGCTTCAGGTTCTGCTCATTTAAGCTGTCATTTGTCTTTAGGACATTATCTGTTCACGTTTCAGAATTTTCATTAATATCTTATAAGATACACAAAGATTTACCATTCTTAATTATTTCACTAGATAATAAACATTCATATGTGTTCTTTCATGAAATAAAACAAAGTTGTATTACAGTTACTTTCTCTCTTGATTATTTGCTTATTTTATAGCTTTTATTTGAGGGAAAAGGTTATGGTTAGAAAACTATATCTAGCTATCCAGAGAAATATTATAAAAGTAAATTTCTATTGAATGGTTTATAAAATAAAAACAAAGGGAATGTGTATCTCATACTAGGCAGTAATTGCCAGATCCTTGAACTTTATCAAGCTGGTAGTATCCTAAGTTTGAATTTAAAAACAAATTAAAGTTGCCAATTCTCTTCTTTGTTTAACAAGTAAGAACATAAAAACAAACACTATCATTTTCTATGGCTATCATTTCACATAAAAAACATTTTATACCATAAGAGGTAGGAGGTACAAAACTTGACAATTAAGTACAGTAATTTTAATTGATAAATGGTGTATATATTAGTTTGTTTGTTTTGGGGCACGTACACTCACCAGAAAGACAGAGAGAAAGTGAGAAATCACCCCTTCAGTGGGGATGGCCATGCCTCAATCCCTTCTCCCCCATTGTCCTCTCAGGATCTTGGTTACACAAGCACGTGTGCCCAGTGTTAGTTTAAGCCATCAGGTCGGGAACTCGAACCATAGTCGAGTACATGGGAATCCAGCAACAAAGCCATTACGCCATCAGCTGGTCCCTAATCAGTGTACATCTTAATACCATATAATATATTTTCTTTTTATTTTTTGCACATCCATGTTTATTGTGGCATTATTCACAGTTGCTAAGACATGGAATCAATCCAAATGTCCATGGACAGATGAATTAATCAAGAAAGTGTGGCATATATACACTACAGAATACTACTGAAACCAAAAGCAATGAAGAATGGTATATATTATAACCACACAATAGGTCTTGAGAGTTGTGATTTTCTTTATAGATTGGACCTATTGTTGCCAAATTTGTCTTGGAACTTAACACCTAGATACCAATATTTTTTTAATGTTTTTTTTCTTCTTTATTTTTTTCATCTCATTTTCTTTTATACATTCAATCACATCACTATTTGTCTTACAGAATGGATATTTCAACAGGTGAACATTTCCCCCTAGTATAGTTGATAAAACTACAAAATATCCTCAACAGATAATACCACATTTCTTTGTGCCATTAATGCATTGCCTCCCTATTTTTTTTCTAAATGTCCTTCCTCGGACCCTCCTCTTTCACATACACTATATCTGGTATTTACATCTATATACTGTGTTTCTATATCATTTAGTCAAGTAGTTTCAGTCAGAGTGCAGACATTTGGAATACATTAAGTGGGGGCATACAATGCCTCTCCTTTATAGTTTACTCAGCAGTGAATCTTCCATATTGATCCACTTCCTGTCAAAAGCCAGGTTTTGTCATTTTTTATGGATGAATAGTATTCCATTGAGTATATGTGTCACAGTTTTACTATCCATTCATCTGTTCGTGGACATTTGGATTGTTTCCATGACTTAGCAATTGTGAATAGTGCTGTAATAAACATTGACATGCAAGCACTTTTTCGGTTAAGTATTCTTGTGTCCTTTGGGTAGATACCAAGGAGTGGGATTGCTGGATCATATGGTAGTTCTAGTTGTAGATTTTTGAGGAATGTCCAAATTGTTCTTCACAGTGGCTGGACCAATTTACATTCCCACCAGCAGTGTAAGAAAGTTCCCCTTTCATCACACCTCTGCCAGTACTTATTGTTTGTTGTTTTTTTAATCTTAGTCATTCTGACCAGGGTTAGGTGGTATCTCATTGTAGTTTTGATCTGCATTTCTCTTACAATGAGGGATGTTGAGCATTTTTTCATATGCCTTTTAGCTATTCTTATGTCATCTTTAGAGAGTGGTATTTGGATATGAAGTCTTAGTCTATTGTATTTTCAAGACTTCATTGGAATGTTGGAGAGTTGGAAGGGGTGTGTGTGTGTGTGTGTGCGTGTGTGTGTTTATGTGTGTGTGTGTTTATGTATATGTGCATGTTGATGGCAAAGCATCTGCGGGTGCATTTTTTTCTGCCTAAGTCGATTTTCTTTTTTCCTTTGGTGGTATGGGCAGTGGGTATTATTAATCATTGTATGACCTCTTCAAGTATAATTACAAAGTAAATAGTAGGAGTAGTATTTTTAAGGCCTTCACAGAGATAAAAAACAATATGGAATTTGAAGGTCTTCTTTTATAGAATCCACAGAATCTCAAATCACAAACTTCACCTGAGGAATTCCTCAGTATAGGAGAGCATTACCTTGCTACATCAAATCCCCAAGGAGAAAAGTTTGCCTTTAAATTATGTACAAACAATTTTATGGGACCAGCAGTTAGCGTAATGGCTATGTCGCTGGCCCCCCATGTAGTTGACCGCGGTTCGTGTCCTAGACCCGGTGGCTTAAAACTTATGCCGGGTGCGTGTGTGTTCGTGTTCAAGATCCCGAGAGGAGAATGGAGGAGAAGGGATTGCGGTGTGGCCATCCCCCCTGGGGGTGATTTCTTGCTTTCTGTCTCTCTGCTCTCTCTCTCTCTGGCAAGCGCATGCGCCCTATAGTAAAAAAAAAAAAAAAAAAAAAAAACCTCTCAAAAAAAAAAAAATCTCCTCTGGGAGACTGATGAATTCTTGTAATATTAACCTGGATACTATGTTCTTTAGTATCTAATCTGAGCATGTGGTTGAATTATCAAATTTTCCAAGACTTTGAGAGAACAGGATCAAGAAGTACCAAGACACTTCAATGAAGCAAGAAATAACTTTAACCTTCTTACTTTTTTAATTATGGATTTTATCAGGTTGAAAGTAAGTCTGTGAAGGTTTTATTTACTCTGAACTATCTAAATGTGAAAAAGGCAACCTATAATGAAATGATAGTGAAAAAATGCACCTATATTTGTTAAGAACTTTGATATTTTATGCCTAATTAGGTTTTGGAAAGTGGACTCAATGTTCAAGTACTATTAATTTGATATAACCACCAGATGGATCTCTTTTTAGATTAAATTTAGGCTAAGTGCACCAAATAATTCCCATCAAAAATACTTAGAGGATCTTCAAAGACAACACAAGGTTTTAATAGCTATCAAGAAATTAATGACTATAATGTATGCTAAAATAACAATGATGTGATGACCAATAATTACATTAAATTCTATTACTTTGAAAGTACATTTATTTCATCAGACAAGGTAGAATTTTTATTCTGACAAAAGATTCATGAGGGCAAGTCGACTAGCTATGAATATACATAGTTTGTCAGTTGAATAATGAAAATATTCTGTGTCAGGAAGTTAAATCAAAAAAAGGTCTATATTTGCTTTTTCTTCCTAGCTGCTGGCAATCCATACCACATTCTTTGATATGTAGATATATATACATGCATATGTAGATGTTTGTGTATGTGTAGATAATAAAACATTTCACAAAAAGTGGAAAGACCATATCTCAGTGTTTACTTCTAGTACAGGTTGAAAATATGTATTTGGAAGGACAGTTGCTTAAAAACAAAAGAGGTCACAATTATATAAGAAGCTTTTTTTTTTTTTAAGAGGTTTTTGTTATAGGGTGCGTGCTCTCGCCAGACAGACAAAGAGAGACATAGAGACAGAAAGCGAGAAATCACCCCCCAGGGGGGATGGTCACGCTGCAATCCCTTCTCCTCCCCTCTCCTCCTGGGATCCTGGGCATGCACGCACACACGCCTGGCGTGAGTTTTAAGCCACCGGGTCTGGGACGCGAACCGCGGTCGACTACGTGGGAGTCCAGCGACATAGCCATTACGCCAACTGCTGGTTCCCTATATAAGAAGCTTTTTAACATATAAACCCAATGCTTATCTTTTTACTCTAAAAATTACTTTTGTTTGGGCTGGACAGTTGCAAGGTGGTAAAATGCAATGCTCTGCAAGACTGACCTATATAGGGATGCTCCAAGTTCACTTCTGCAGACTTCCCCAAGTGCACCAGGCACACACCTGGCCATGAACTGGGGGTCTGGCCATGGTTGGAGGTACACTGTAGTACTAGGACCTCATTGGGGGTGCTGTTTCTCTGCTGGTCTTCCTCTCTATCTCCTTTCTGCCTTTTTCACTTTTGAAGGAAATAAATAAACTTAAAAAAACAAACAAACCAAAAAAACCCTGCTTTTCTTTGTGTCTTTAAATCTTATGGAAATCAGGAGTTCCCTATTACCATAAAGACCATTAGAGACTTAAAAATCACACCATACACTTTATTTCACTAACACCATCATTATCTGATAACATTTTGTGAGAGACAGGTATGGGACACAGGTAGTTGTAGAAAGAGTTGAGAATAGTGAAAATGATAGCAATCTCAGAAATAGAAGTGGGACTGATAAGAAAAGCAGGTAGAACAAACTTCCGTTCCTTCCAAAATGTATATGAGATTAAGTTTGACCTTTAGATGGAAGTCTGAACTCAAGAGATACTACATAAAGGAAAAATGGAAGAAGTTCTGGATAAGATATAATATTAGGAATTGCAGACTTGATATCTAAATACTTTGAACCTTCATGAAGGACTCCAATTGGTGTAAGTGTGGGATGGAAGCCATAAGAACTCTTGATAGAAAATGGGAAGAGAAAGTCAGTGTTGACATATCCAAAGTAGTACAGGCAGTAAGGCAGCACTGTTGATTCTGGAACCATATGGGAATGTTCCAGGTTTCTAACTGAGGTTGAGTTGACCACCCTGGTACACTCATAGACATGACCATGATTCTGCTGGCTGGAAGATGGGGAGTGAGGAAAGCAGATTATACCCACTGAGACTTTGTCTGAGGTGCTTGTCTCTCTTTCTTTCAGGAAATTGATTAGTTAATGTGAAAAAGAAACTCAATGATGAGAAATTAACCCTCTTTCTCTACTATGATGAATTTTTTTTTTTTAAAGAAGTCTTACTCATATTTTGGAAATGGCTAGTGAGAGTGAAAGCTGAAGACAGAGTATTTCATGTAAGTGATTTTCTTTTGGTTGAAACATAAATCATGAATCAGTACCAACATTAGAAAATGCCAAGTGACTGAATTCCATTATAAAATATGAATTTTTGTAACTCCTGGATTTCCAAGTGAATGTACCATCTTCCCCCACCAAATTTCCCAAAGTAAACATTCTGGCAGTTTGTCATTTAGAGACATCTGTAGTTTACTAAACTTAGGTTTCTCTGAGCCTTCAAAGAGAGAGGAGGAAAGAAGAGGAGAAGCAGGAGAGGTGATGATGACAAGAAGGAAGAGGAGAATAGAAAAGAAGAAGAAAAGAAGTACAAAAAGAAAGGGAGGAAGGAGGAGGAGAAAGGGAGTGAAGATACAGAGAGAAAAAATAAAGAATCAAATGAAGAAGAAAAAAGACTGCTGTGAGACATAGTGTCCAGGCTTCTGTGTGCTCAAAACTTAGCACAGGAACTAATAGTATACCTTTTGATGGTCCTAGATGCGAGATAAAAAAATTAAAATAAAATTAAAAAGTGCTAATTTGTAAACTCAGAGGAATAGTTAAGAAAATTCAAAAAAATTTCTATTTCAGGACCAGCAGTTAGCGTAATGGCTATGTAGCTGAACTCCCATGTAGTCAACCGCGGTTCATGTCCTGGACACGGTGGCTTAAAACTCATGCTGGGCACATGTGCATGCGTGCCCAGGATCCTAGGAGGAGAACGGAGGAGAAGGGATTGCGGTATGGCCACCCCCCTGGGGAGTGATTTCTCGCTTTCTGTCTTTCTGTCTCTCTGTGTCTGTCTGGAGAGCTCACGTGCCCTATAGCAAAAACCTCTCAAAAAAATGTTCTATTTGTATCTTGTACTTAAAATACTGTTATAATGAAAAAGGCTTTACTATAATATAACATGCTCTTTTATTAATTTATCTATGACTTAATACTTCCACAGGCATTATACTATGTATTTCATTCTAATTCATTTCGGAACACTAAAGAAGATATATATATATATATATATATTTACCCCTAATTTCTCAATACTTTAAAGTATTAATGTGAAGGAACTTTATAAAGTTTATGAAGGGGGGGCCAGCAGTTAGCGTAATGGTTATGTCGCTGGACTCCCATGTAGTTGACTGCGGTTCGCGTCCCGGACCCGGTGGCTTAAAACTCACGCCGGGCGTGTGTGCATGAGTGCCCAAGATCCCAAGAGAATAGAGGAGAAGGGATTATAGCGTGGCCATCACCCCTGGAGGGTGATTTCTCGCTTTCTGTCTCTATGTCTCTCTCTGTCTGTCTGGCGAGCGCACACGCCCTATAGCAAAAACCTCTAAACAAAAAAAAAAAAAGAAAGTTTATGAAGGGGACTGGCAGATAGTATAATGGTTATGTCACTAGATTCCCATGTAGTTTGTGTTTTGAGTCCCAGACCTGGCGAATTAAAACTTACACTGAGTGTGTGGGTGGAAAATCCTGTGAGGAGAATTGAGGAGAAGGGATTGCAACCTGGCTGTCCCCACCAGTAGGGGGTGATTTCTCACTTTCTGTCTTTGTCTTTGTCTCTTTGACGAGTACACATGCCCTATAGCAAAAATCTGTCTTAAAAAAAAAAGTTTATGGAAAAATGGAATTAAAATGTTAAAATATGAGTTTATTTTGGTGTAAAAATTGTGGAAATACGTAAGTTTTTCACAATACATTTTTCATGAAAGTTTTTAAAGTTTCTCATACTGAAAAGTCTTTGATTTTAAAGTTTTTAAATATAAGCTTAATATATAGAGCTCAGTTTTGGTTAATAATTTATTATGATAAAACCACAGACATATGGAAAGACATAGCAGAATTGCTCACTTGGCTCTCCAAAGTCTATTGCAAACTGTTATTGTGTGAGTTAAAATGACTTAGGCCTGAGTTAAAATTTCTCTGAGAGGGAAATTATTGGAGCCAGGCAATGTATTGGAGTTAGAGAAGGTCTCCTGTGAATATAAGTGCTCTAGTATTTTTCTGTAGTATTATACTGCCTTGAAAGAATGAAAATCTTAAGAGAATATTTATGCTGAGAAAGGTTTGTACAGATACATTGCCCTCAGCAGCAAATATTTTATTTTACTTAATTTTTAAAAAATTTCCAGAGGGCAAGTATACTTGCCAGAGATAGACAGACAGACATGAGGAGAGGGAGAACATGTTCCCAATGGGACAGGGTTTGGTCACTCTGAGTCTCTTCTCCTTCATTTCTGCATCCTGTAGGGAATTTGAGGCAAGCAGGAAATACTTGCTTTATAACAAGGGACAAAGGGTTTTGTGGACTGAAACCAGTAATCCTGAAGTTAGCTTAAGTTCATGTTGATGGCTTTCTTTTCTTTTCTTTTTTTTTTGGGGGGGGGAGAGATTTTTGCTTCAGGGTGTGTGCACTCACTGGAGAGACAAAGAGAAAGAGACAGAGATAAAGAAAGCAAGAAATCACCCCTCAGAGGGGATGGCCACCCCACAATCCTTTCTCCTCCATTCTCCTCTTGGGATCCTGGCATACATGCACATGCACCTGGCATGATTTTAAGTTGCCAGGTCAGGGACTCGAACCACAGTAGACTATGGGAGTTCAGCAATGTAACTATTACACTATCTACTGGTCCCCATGTTGATGACTTTCTACCAGGTGCCTGAACTATCTGGGAAGAGAATTCCTCTCTCTCATATTTGGAAACTTTATTGTTTCCAAAAGTTATGATTTGGCTAGCCATGGTGGTGCAGCAGTAATGCAATATTTGGGGCCATGTGCAAAGGTCCTAAGTTCCCATTCCAAGTTCTGCCCATTCATACCAGGCCCACAAGAGCCTGTGATTCTGTCTAAGGTTTGGGGTTAATTACAGTGTCAAGCCCCCTGCTGGGATCTCCTCTCTCTCTCAGACATAAATAAATAAATAAACTTAAGAAATATGATTTGATGTGACTGGTAAGCTCAGATTTATGGTTAAGGGTCATTTGGTAATGGGAATACAAAAGTCGGGACTATGGAAAAATATAAGATGAAAACACTTTTTGAGTTTGAAAAAAAACTGGAGAGCAGAAGCAGCATGCTTTCCAGATTCCTTGGAGGTTTCCCCACAGTCTAGACAAAGAGCTGAGGTACTTGAAAATCAGGTAAACAACTTCCTAGGAAATCTGGAAGATCCTGAGAAGAAACAGGCTAAGTAAATCATTAGAGCAATGAATATAAAAAGCCCAGAGAATTCAGTAACTGCATAAAAATAGACGTGGTATTCATCCCTGAAGTGTATATTTGCCCATCTGGGCATTGTCCCTGAGGATGTCACTATTTAATAGAGCTCACACGACATCTTGATAGAACTCAGTTCCCTCATTCGTGTGTTGAATGAGTTAGACTGTGTGACTTCTAGCTTCTTCTTAACCCTAACTCTTTGTGAGTTCTTTAGTTTTTATTGAGTTAAAGATTAGACAGCCAGGATCACATACACTTATGGGTCTAGTACATTCACTCGAGAATGCCTTTGGTCTTAAGAGAATTTGTTATGATGAAGATACTGGAGGTAAGTGGAGACCTGGCAGCCCAACAATACTAGCAATGAAAATATTAATTAGCTTGAGTTAGCCATTCTACAATGTACACATACATCAAAACATCATGTATATGCCATGATCATACGCAATTTTTTTCAATTAAAAATTAATTTTAAAAAATACCCTATGGGGCAGATGGTGGCACAGTAGACATGCATTCCAGGACCTTTCAGAGCACATTAGGTGCTAGCATGTACCTGTGGTCTGGGCTCACTGAAGCTGGGGGTGGATGATACTGTGAAAACTCTGTTGGTGGTGACTTTCTCTCTTTCTGTTTTGTCTGTCAGGAAAAAATAAATAAATAAATAAATAAATAAATCATTCAAAATCTCTTCCAAACAAAAACATTCACAGAAAGAAATTATCTAGTGGACCAGCAGTTAGCATAATGGCTATGTCACTGGGCTCCCATGTAGTCAACTGTGGTTCAAGTACCGGACCCGGTGGCTTAGACTCACAACAGGCTTCTGTGCGTGTGGGCCCAAGATCCTGGGAGGAGAATGGAGGAGAAGGGAATGTAGAAGAGATTGTGGGTGTGGCCATCCCCTGGGGGGTGATTTCTCACTTTCTGTCTTTCTGGCGAGTGCATGAGTGCATGTGCCCTATAGTGAAAATCTCTCCAAGAAAGAAAGAAAGAAAGAAAGAAAGAAAGAAAGAAAGAAAGAAAGAAAGAAAGAAAGAAAGAAGAAATTAGCTAGCAAGGAAGACCAAAATAAAAATAATTAATGTTACAAGAACTCAAATATGGTAAAAAGTCAGATAATAAAATAGGTACAATTAAAATTATTTGAAAGATGTAAAAAGGAAAGATATAGACACAATAAGAGAATAGTGCAATAGGAAAAGAGCAATCTCATAGGGAAAAGAGGAAAGTAGATATTATACAAATGAATCTATAGTCTTTAAACTTTAAAACTCAGTAGTGTATATATCTAAAATATTGGTTAAGTAATTAATTTTAAAATTTATCTGAATTTATATCTGAGCTACAGTTAAAAGAAGAAATGAAAATCATGAATATATAATAGATACACATATCTGTTAACATAAGCTTATAATTTGCTTTTAAAATCCATTATATTTATTTTCATCTGCTTGATTGAACAATTTTTGTCCACTTGATTTAACAGTTTCTGAATAGGTGAGTTAAATATCTCATAAGACCACCTTCTTCCCTTGCCTAGGACAGAAAGCCAGGGCTTCTCCCCCCTCCGCCCAGACCCCAGTGCTAGTTAGGTATGCAAGTGTCTCATTCTTGTTCTTCTCTGTCACTTCCAACATTTTTTTCTTTTAAAAAAATAAAAACAAAAAAAGAAAGAAAAACAAAAACAACAACAACGAAAAACAGCTTTCTGCCCTGCTTGTGCCTTTCTCTTGTTGATTTGTTTCTTCTTCCCTCACCTAGGACAGAAAGGTTCCAGGCTCCTCCACCTCT